CAGGTTCGCCCCATGATGACATTATACGGCGAAGGGAGCTTTATGACCAGGAATTCTACTTCGACTGTTCTGGAGCCCGCTCGAACAGGTAGTATGATCTTCCCTAACGGGTATTCAGGATTCATATTAAAGCCGAACAATGGGTGAGGCGCCGGAGACCGATCTGACTCGTTGAGGCCGAGTTTGATGAAAGTTTGGTAATACATAACCTCCGAAGTACTCCCCGGGTCTATGAGAATGTGTTCAATGGTGAACCGATTTATGCGTAATTTAATGACCAACGGATCGATGTGGGAAGCTGTTGTGCCGCTAAGATTGGAGTCATTGCAAGTAATTGTCAGAGCTTCTTTGGGCCATTCAGTCGGAATACGTTGCTTTTGAGGGATTGGATGCGATTGAATTGTGTGCACGGTTGGGGGTGCAGGCAGGCTGTAGATCATATGGATCACGCCAAGTGGAGGTGAGCCCCGCCTCAAGGCCAGTGCCGTGGTTGGCTTTCCCTTTCTCACGTACTGTTGCAGTCGGCTGTTTTGCACCAGTTCTTTCAGATGATCTTTTAATACGTAATAACTCTCTGTTTCGTGGTCGTGATCTTTGTGATATTCGCACCGCCTATCCTTTCTTCGCATGTCGGGCGGCCCCACTATCTTTGACGGCCATTTGAAGAATGGAAGGTGCTGGACTTTGGTCATTATTGCAGCGATTGGTTCTGACAACTCTGTGTACTTCTTGTCGGCACGCCTCGAACACTTGCTGTCGACTTGCAGTTGTTCATTAGTCCGGTGGGAGCATTGATCGCTTGATCAGCGAGTATCCCACCTTTTGTCTCGTTTAGCGCATTGCCGAGGCTCTAGGCTAGGAGGTGGGAACTTATTGGTTAAGCAATTTTAGGGGGGGCCGTTTTGTTGGACATTTGGCCGGCTTTTATTCTAAAGGCATCATCTTCCACTTTGCAATACTCTTCAACTTTCTTCATCAACGCCCAACTGTTTTGGGGGGTCTTCTGGTCAGGGAACTGCGAAGAGGACTGTCAGGATGTAGTCCCATTTTGAAGGCGGTGATGGCCATGGAGTCGTTGCAAGCGTCGTCGACGAGGTTGAAGCACTCCCAATAGCGAGATGTTCATTTTCAGCGATCATGTTCTCCAGCCTTTGTTTATTCTGCTTTGCTTGTTCGATGATCGCTTGCATTGTCTCTTGCGCTGAGGTCATTGGTGAGTCGAAGTTCAAGGCGCGTCTTGCAGCGATGGTTTCTTTTTCGAGCATATTTGCTGGAGTGAGGTCATTTCCCTGTGCGGTCTCGTCAATGGCTGCTGGAGGATCTTCAGTCACGCCTGCCATGGATGTATTTAAGTATTCCCACAGACGACGCCAATTGTGGAGAAATAGTTCAGAAATACTCTTCAGATCCTGGGAGACGCTAGTGATCCTCAGCTAGTCACCTGAAAAGATACAAACACTCCGGTCGGGGGTGCCGGAATTAGCACTCCGACGGACAAGTTAGTTCAGATACTCAAGGTAGCTTCTTTACTAAGTTTTTGTAAAGTGATTCTTACATACTTTTCTATAACCGTTGTTCCTGTATTTATACCTGTTCTTTTTGATCCTCGGGGCCAGGGCCTACTTTTTAATCATTATCCTTTCTTCTATTCGGCACTAAGGACTTACACTTATTCGACACATATATTATATTCGGCTCCCTACTCTCGTAGGATATAGCCGATTAATATCAGTCTTCCAATGGTACGCACCATCTGATTTTTCCCATGTATTCGGCCCCCACAAACCTTTAATTTGAAAATACAAACATTACATCCAATTATAAAAAAAATCTAATTATCTTTCTAAACACAAAAGTTTTAATTTACTAAAGTAGGAAAAAACTAAACAGCCTATTAAAATAACAACTTCCCAAATCTCCACAATATATGTTTTATATAAGGTTCGTTTGGGATGTGGGTTAACTTTTTGGCTTTTTGACTATTTTAGCCCAGGGTTAAAAAGTATCGTTTGTGATAGATTTTTTAGCTTTTTTGACTTTTGTGAAAGAAAAAATAAAATAATTATGATTTGGATGTGACATTTTGTGAGTGTTTGGGAAGTTGCTATTTTAATAGGCTATTTTAGTTTTTGACTATTTTAGTAGGTTATTTTAGTTTTTGACTATTTTACTAGGTTAAAATTTTTGTATTTGAGAAGATTGTTATTTTTTTTGCACTTGGATGTGATGTTTGTAAGACAAAAAATTAAATGATTATGAGTTTGATGTGATATTTTGTCCTATCAACTATTTTAGTTTAGTTTGTCTTTTTGTAAATTTTAGCCTAAGTTAAGCCAAAATCCCACTTCCTAAACAATCCCTTTGTCTTATTGAATTAAAAAACTTATTTTATCTTTTTATGAATATTTTAGCCAAAAAATCTCCGTTTAGTAATTGAATGTGGAATCTTGATGAGATTTATTGGAGTATTATATGGATCATGTTTTGTCTGTGTTGTGATTTTCTAAAGAAACTCATCTTTAAATATATTAGAATTGTTGCTCTCTCTTTCCTCTTTGGGTTCCCAAGTCCAACAACCGTCCCACATGGGAAAATAAATATAAAACGATTTTTTGTATTAAAAATATTTTTGAAACTCATTTTTGAATGCATTGAAATTGTTGCTCTCTCTCTCTCTCTCTCTCTTCTTTTGGTTCCCAAGTCCAACAACCTTCTCACATGGGAAAACAAATATAAAATGATTTTTCTAAAATCGTTTTTGTATTAAAAATATTTTTGAATAATGCATCGGACTTGTTGCTCTCTCTCTCTCTCCCCTCTTTTGGTTCGCAAGTCCAACAACCTTCCCACATGGGAAAACAAATATAAAACATTTTTCTAAAATCATTTTTGTATTAAAAATATTTTTGGTCAAAAAATAGTTATGTTAAAAATATAAATTAAAAAAGAAATTTAGTGTAAATCAAAACCATTTGTAATTAATTCAAAATTAATTAAAACTTAATTAAAATTGACTTTTTCAAAGCCGATTTTCTATGTTCAATTTTTTATTTTTATTTTAAGAGTAATGCTATAGACCACTAATTTGTCATCACTAATCCCATCACTAGTGAGGTGGCAATTGAAAAAAAAAAAAAAGAAGGTGAGCCACCACAAACACACTGTGACAGTGGGTGCCACCTCATTAGAGCCACCAGTAATTAGTCACCAAGGATCCTCTAGAGTGAAATTTCCCTAAAGGTTCCTAGAGTGCTACATTGTGTGGTTGAGATTTACTGGCAAGTCACATCAGAAAAATTTATGTGACTTGTCAATAAATCTCAACCACACAATATAACACTCTAAAAAATTTTATGAAAAAATCACTTTAGAGGATCCTTGCTCGTAATTAGTAGTCTAAAACATTCCCTTTATTTTAATTGCAAAATACAGCTTTTCAAAGTCGTTTTCTGAAAAACGATATTGCTAAAGTCGTTTTTATAAGAATAAAAATAGAAAGTGGAAATAAAATTTTGAAAATGTGATAGTCAGAAAATCAGCCCAGGCAACACTCTCTCTCTCTTATGGTGTCACAGCGTTTCTTCTCTCTCATGATCCATCTCTCTCTTTGAAACCCAGCCCAGAACATCAAAGAAAAAACGTGTTCACTCTCTCTCGTGATCCATTTTTCTCTTTGAAACCCAGACCAGACCATCAAAGAAAAAACCTCTCTCTCTAGCCAAGACTCCAACGCGACCCTGTTTTGGTAGTAGTTCCTTTCAAAGCCATGGGCAGTAGTATCTCCCAACCAAATCCACTTAACAACCACCACTACAAAGCTACCACCGCCACAAACAACAACGACGACTACCAAGTTGCAGATCCTGATCTTACTAACATGATTGGTCGAGATCTTAATTTCATGAAAGAGACCATGACACAGATTCAGAAGTTTGTAGATCATATGAATGTGCAAATCAACCAGGCTTGTGAGAAATTTGAGGAGCTCAAAACAAGAGGAGGAGGGAGTGATACTAACGAACTTGACCAACTGAAAATGTCTGTCAAGAAGTTGAAATCCCAGATTCCCTCCAAGCTTAAAATCCATTATGATGATGATTCAAAACCACATCGGAAACCTTGGTTTGATGATGGATCCATTAACAGTAGCAGCGGCAACAACCAAGTCGATGTAAACAAGGCCGGCAATTTGCACAGTTTGTACAATCAGCCAAAGTTTGATCACATCTCTGCACTAGCAGATATCCTGGTATCTTTCGATAGCCTGGTATCTTTCGATAGCCCCGCTCCGGAACAAAAATATTTTTTGAATTTTTTCCGGATTTTCCCAGAAATGGCTACCATGAAGAAAAGGTTTCTGATTTACTGGTGGATGGGAGAGAGAGTTCTATTCCAAGAACCAGCAGAGCATCTTGCCAACGAGATCTTGGATGAGCTTACTGCAAAGGGCTTCATCGAGCCTTCTTGCCAACGAGATCTTGGATGAGCTTACTGCAAAGGGCTTCATCGAGCCTATCTACAAAAATTGTGGATTGGTTGTGGATAGCTACAGGATGCCACCTTACATTCGTTCTGTCGCAACCTTAGAATTAAAGGGGCATGATTTTGATTATTTTCCGGATCTTCGCTTTGCCTGTTGGGAAAGATGCATAGTCAACGTTGATGCGGCTATTATTGATGGAAGACATGAAATTATTTTCGAAAGGGGCACCGATTTGAGAGTTGTTTACTTGGGAAGGTGGCAGAACTCAGTCACGCATCACATTGAAGTCTCAGACATCAATATTCTCAATTTTCTCAAGAATAAGAAAGTAGTGGGGTTTCTTAGCCTTCGAGGTATTTCTTTGATTACAGAGCTTCCTCCTTGCATTTTACAACTGACTTATCTTGAGATTCTGGATCTCAAAGCGTGTCACAATCTTGAGGTGATTCCAAATTAGATTGGCTTCCTTACGAATTTGACACACTTAGACATATCTGAGTGTTACCGTTTAGATCACATGCCCAAGGAGCTTGGTGCATTATCTAATCTCCAAGTCCTTAAGGGATTTATTATTGGAGATTTCAAGGACAAAAAGTCATGTACAGTCAATAATTTGACAAAATTGTCAAAGCTACGAAAATTGAGCATTTCCACAAGTATGAAAGAATTTCCAACAGATCTGCAGCTTCATCATTTACAAAGATTAAAATCTCTACAGAAGTTGAAAATATCTTGGTCAGGATGCATTTTACGAGGTAAAACTGATGATTCACCTAAGCAAGCACAACTATTTTCCAAGCAGACAACGCTGACAAGATCATTCATTGAGCAGCGTGATCCAAAACTTCCTCTCTTATTGGAACTTCCTTCATCGTTGCAAAAACTAGAGCTTGAGGGTTTTCCTGAAATAGATACACCCAGTTGGTTGTGGTCTGGCAATTTGAAGAACTTGAAGAAACTTTACATCAGAGGAGGACTATTGTGTAATTTGGACAAAATAGTAGCTACCACAGTTGAAATGTTAAAATTGAAGTACTTGAGTAACTTAAAGATGCCTTGGAAAGACATTATGATGTTATTTCCCAATTTGATTTACTTGGAGAAAGTAGAATGTCCCTTCCTCAATTCCTTCTCGTGTGATCAAAATGGTGTTTGGATGAGGAAAGACAATGGCATCGATGAGAAATGTGATGGAAGAAACTACTGAGAGAGGATAGGAAACCTCTTTCTATTATCTTCCTTTTTTATTTTTAGGCTGGCAAATTAATGTCTTCAAAGATAGTATATAGTAATTTTCCTCTCTCATGAAAAACTAGCTACACGTATTTATTTATTCAATCAAATGTATATGTCTTGAAGGTCATTCATCAAGGCTTCTTTACAAGTTTTCAATAAAGTTGCATTTGGATAAGGCAGAGCATGTCTTTATTGGTAATTTTTTCTAAGGAGAAATTACAAAAAAAAAAAAAAAAAAGAGTTTGAATTTTGTAAAAAAAACAAGCCTTAATTTTTAATTTTATCAATTTAAATTCTAATTTTCTGATTTATTTTTAATCTAAACCATCGACCTACTTTCCTATAAGTTACAATGAAAGATGTTTTATCAGCTTTGAAAAATTCTTGATTTCAAATGAATTTTTTTTTTTAAATTTAATTTTTTATCTAAATGTATAATTTATTACACATCTTCAACTTTGTAATAAATAATGCTGAGTTTTGATTTTCCACTGCCCTTCATTTTTCTTGCATTAACTTATGTTCAATATTTCAGTTACTTTATACATTAACATTTTCATTATGTGAATGTGACGGAATTTATGAACTATTTAAAAGGAATATATATAAAAATTTAAAAGATGGAAGTGATAGGTATTGGTATTTGTGAGAGATTTCATGAGAAATGGCATCAAGCAGTGAGAGAATTGCAAATGAATCTGTTGTGGACAACATTAAAGTAGTTGGGGCGTACAAAGTTGTGTCTTTTGCCAATGGCTTGAATTTGTTGCATACAGGCTAAGGAATATTTACTTTTAACCAAACAAATTTGTTTTAATGAAGAAAATTTATCATCTATTGGAAAGCATACAGGCTGAGGTATTTACTTTTAACCAAACAAATTTGTTTTAATGAAGAAAATTTCTATATCTATTGGGAATCATACAAGCTGAGGTAGTTTCTTTTAACCATACAAATTAGTTGTAACGAAGAAAATTTCTCATCTATTAGGAATATCATTGCTGATATGATATTAAAGATTGGATGGGAGTTTTAAATATGCTTGTATTCATGACAAAATGCTAGGAAATGAAACTGTCCATCTATGGTCACTTTGAATGGAAGAGGTTCTAATTGAGGTTGTTTCTTGTGTCCATTCTAATTTTGTCTGTACTTTATAAATGAAATCATTTTTCTACATAAAAAGAATTTTTTTTTTAATTCTTTTACACGTTTTTAAATCGTTACATCAGTAGAAGACTTCCATCATTCCATACATTTTCATCCGTGGAATTTATTAGCGCAATTCCTACCTTATTTACATCTCTAAAATTTCTAACATATTCATATTTCATTGAAACCCAATAAATATATTTCCACTACAAAATCGCTTGGGTGTCCACAAAGAACAAATGAGGGTCATTTAATTAATAAAATTACAACTTTTTCCTTTCCCTGAGCAAGGCCAAAAGTTTCCACTGAAGCATAGCCATAATAATAATAGTTTAAAAAAAATAAAATAGAAAAAGCTAAGAGAGATGTTTGTCTTGCAATATATGAACTTCAAATCACTCATGCCATTTCCAATAATCCTTTAGGCTTCGTCAAAATCATTTAAAAACCTATATTCCAACCAAAAGAAATATGTCAATGTGAAATGTAATTCAAAAAAACTGAAGCTGATTACCACAAAAGTATAAACTCCCTCTGTGTAAAATTTTAACATATATAATGTAGTAAATATTTTCAGTGAAATTTTCTAACAATTCTAACCCTAACAAAAAAAATCTCATTCTAGCTTAATAAATCAGGTTCAAGCTCCCCAAACAAAGATTCGAAGATGTTAAGGCAAAAAATTAAAATAAAAGACTCGTCAATGGACCTGCACAACCCTTTCAAACCTCCAAAACCTGAAAATTTTCCAATTGAAAACAAAAATACAATATCCATGTTTACAAAGATTGACTAATAAAATAACCATGTCTGCTGTATCGGCAGCTAAGATGCTATTTTTCATTCATTTCTCCCAGCTATCATGGAGAAAAAAAAGATAGTATGAAGATGGCATCCGAACATGATAGAAAATAAAGAAATATAAATGCAAGGTGAGTGGACACATGCAGCCGTAGCAATAAAAGTCCTAACATTATCAGTAGCATTTCAATTTTGAAGTGATAAATTACAATTTACAATAAGACACTTGGTCTGCAAACTTTTTTAAAAAAATGTACCTAACATTAATATCAACCCCAAAGTCAACAACCCTCCACCACAATACAAAAACAAATATACTATTCCTAAAACAAATCATTCTAGAAAATTAAGTAATCTGAGTTTTCCAGCTAAAATGTTAAGTAATCTGAGTTTTCCAACTAATTCAGAAAATACAAAAACAACAAATCTCATCAAGCAAAGGATACCGATTAATGTAATTCACTAACAACATACCAATAACATACCAAAGGGCACTAACTAATGCACTCCAAAAAAAAAAAACATTCTTATCTCCTAACTCTCACCAACAACATACCAATGGCATGGAAATTCAATAAAACCAAAGCACACCAACTAATGTACTCCAAAAAATGTGCAACAAACAATAAAAAACCAAAATATCTAAATATAAACAATTATTATGAAACCAACTCTACTTTGACAACTGTTAGTTTGCGATTGTTTCTCTCTCTTTGTATGGTTCTTCTCACAACAACAACAAACTAAACTTATCTCGCTAATAAAAAAAAGAACCACCAAAAATGCATGAACACCTTATTTTGATATCATTGAAGCATATAATTCTACCATTTGAATATATTGTTGGTGAACTATTTTATTTCTCTCATTTGGTGTTATGATGAAGTGCCAGAGCATGGGAAAGTGCTGGAAGAGATTTCACTTTCCATGACAGGTAAACTTAATAATTTCTTTAATTTTATATATATATATATATATATATATTTTAAACGGGTCTGTCGGTTTATTCTAAGCTTACCTTAGTGCCTCCCAGGTAGCGAATGTGTAGTGCTTAACTTTTTTATTTCAACCTGAAATAGGAAAGAGTTGGACAATGGAGAGAGATCAACAGATTGATTTCCACTAGGAGCAACTGAATCTTAACCAAAAGTAGTGATCTAAAATCTGTTACATATAAAGAAAACAGATCGGAAAGCAAAGTATGCAAATCAACTTTGAAAACAACTAGGTGTGCAATTCCAGTCTCTTTCTGGTTGTTCACTATTTTGCAAAACATTAAAGTGGACTGGAACTGCAATTCTATTACCAAAATCTAATTACTCACCAATATCACTATAAAAAGAACTATCATGCACCATTCCAATATGCACTGTCACTCCATTCAAACAAAATCTTTCAACCTATATTTATTACAATACATAGTGCCCCTCACCAAATCCCAATTCCCCTCATCTTGAACACTGTTAAATAATTATAAAAGTGGACATATAAGTCACCGTGTTTAATGAAAACAAGAGGGGAATTTGAAATTGTCCCTCAATTTCAAAGTCAATTAACTGAAAAAATTCAAATCCTAACCATGAACATAAAGAAACCATTAATTTGAAAACATCTTTTAAATAAAAAAAACCCAATTAACTGATGAATTTACCTTTTATAGCTATGAATTTTATAAAGTAAAAATAAAACAAAGTAAGTTTCCATCTTTCTCTCTATAACCATAACTTTTCCAGTTAAAACAAACAAAAAGAAAATTTTATAAAAAGAAAACAAAGTAGCAATCTTTCAGCAAATCAACAATAGCTAAAGATACAATATTAAATATTAAACAATAAATAACCTATTTTCATAATTGTGCCTAATTGGTGATCATACGAGATTGTGTTTCTCATGACACAAACAATTTCAAGGAGAAGGTTATCTTAAAAATAAAAATAAAAATAAAAATATTCAACCCTCCATTAAGATAACCCAAAGCATCATCAACTTTCGAACAAAACAGTTATCTAGACGTTCAAATGTGGCTGTAATTAGTAGTAATAGTTTAACTAAATCAAAGATCACAATCCAATTAAACATAGCTCAGGAAACCACCGGGAACATAAATGGTTGAAATACCAATGCTATTCACACAAATATTCAGAAAAGGCAATGAAGTTGCCACAGCACATAAACAACGAAAATTTTCCTTTGTAGAACCATAATGATAATGATAATGATAACAATAACAAAACTTCAATAGCAATTATAACACATCATCTAACACATCCAAGTAGTGGACCTACCAAGTCTAGAGCAACTGGAGCAACATAGATTCAACCACAAAACATTAAATAACACAAACAATCAAGGCTCAAATGGTCTTCAAAATCTCATAATCTCATAAATTACACCTAAACAAAAAATCAAGTCTTTCTTCAAAGGAAATGAGACTGCATGAAGATGGGTTTTCGATTTTTTTACTTACTCATACAAAAAAATACATGTCCTCTACTTGAAAACCCTAAATTTGAAATTTCCTCTCACCACAGACAAATTGCAGACAATAACAGTAAAAGTACGGGCTTTGGGCGATTATGAACTACATACATACCAGTTTGTAATCCAGCTCGAATACATCTAGGGTTTCGTCGTTGCAGAAGGGGGTTGGGCGTTATCGAATAGGTTGTTTAAGTTGGAGATGACAATGGAAACGAAGGCGGTTGAGTCAATGGTAAGAAGTGTAGGATCCCTTGAGAGAGAGTGGCACTTACTTTGAGTGGTGATGGTCAGCGGCGAAGACCGAAGAGAGAGAGCGCAATTTCTCAAAATGTTTAGGGCCCAAGAAATGGTCCAGGGATTTGTCCAACAAAAAAATTAGAAGGGAATTTTGATTTGGACAAAATTTCGGGTGTTTCTTCCAAATTTTTGACAATTATTTGGGGGGGGGGAATTATGATAAAATTGATAGTAATTTTTTTTAGTAATAATTAAAAAAAAAACCATGATTTGAGTATTACAATAAAATAAATTATTAAT